CACATCGGACAAATTTAGTCCCTAACTAGGTTTTCGATCATTTTTTGGCCGGAATCCATCATGTGCAAGGCACATGATCATTTTTTAAGGGTAAATTTGTCAAATTATATTTTACATAATCTCATCTATAGTCCTCCACAGTTTATAAAATAAATTTTTTCGTCCCTCATATTTTATAAAATGATTTTTTTAATCCCTCACATTACACAAACTGAATTTCTCCATCCCTCACATTTGAAAAAATGAATTTTTCATTTCTCACTAATTATGTGTGTGAATACATTTTTTTAAACACACACACACACACACACATATATATATATATATATATATATCTATTTGATTTTGCTTAATAATAATAGTATAAACACATGTATGTAATTGGGCCCAACTTGTGGGCTATCTTCTCTTTTTGTATGATTATAACTATTATTTACCAATAGAACCTTAATTTGCATATTCTTTTTTGTATTTTGACCGAAAATAGCTTTATTTGTATACAGGGCACAGCACCAGTGCAAAATGATGAATTAATCAGCATACCTCTGCTTCCAAAGATGTCATAGAATCTCCCTTAATGGAACACAAGTCTTGAAACAAAGTAGCCCATTTGACTGCTTTTCGCAGCCTACCAATCAGATAGCCACGCTGACGTGCATTTGGACCATCTGGCAGCGTTTTCTTTTCCATAGCATGGCTCCAAGCTCTTTCTGCTGTATAAAGAACCACATGAAGATACCTACAGTGTCCCCAACCACCACGCAGAATCAGGATAGATTAACGACCATTAAGAAATTATTAATGAGAGACAAAACAACATATTTGTTCTTCAAATAGCAAAAGCGAAATTAATACATTTACCAACTGTAATGTCAATCAAATTCAACCATTGGTCTTGGCAATCTATTACCTCACTTCAGTGACCATAGAAGCTGTAATCGCCCTTTTACTATATTTACCACGGTCATGCATGAATTTCAACGACTTGTACAATCTCCTGAGCCGAGCAGTACAGTACCTCCTAAAAAATTTGCAAAAACTGTTCAATTTCACATTCCCTCAATAGTACAACTCTATCACACCACATTTTTCACAAATTTAACCCTGCCACCTCTAATGATCAATGTCATAAATTCCCTCATAAACCTATTTAGAGCACACTTACGCTTATATACTGGTAAAAACAATATCAAACGGCATTTCTTACAAAAATTAAACCTACTTCCCGGAACTTCATCGTACCAAATTACTCATAAACATATACCATAAGTGTACAAGCGTAGGTTATACCGGTAACGAGCGTAATTGCCAAACCGCAATCCATGCTGCATCTGAGCCGATTTCAAGAGCTGCAAAACTGTAAATTCACCAAAAAAAAAAAACTAAATTATCACCTCAAAATTACCTGTCTAGAGCTTTATGGGAAAGTAAATTACCATTGATAGAGAACCTAGGGCTATTAATCTGATCAACGGATTCCGAATTCTGGTTGTCCACATCCATAGCGGAGGAGTTGTTCTCTTTGGCCATATCGTTAATGTGAAATTTCCGTCAGATCTTAAATTTGGCATCGTTTTTATCGGAATTAGCCCGACAGCTTGAATGTAGGTTGCTTGAAAGATTCTGAAGATGTCCAAAATGCCCCTGGCTTGTGGCACACTGCCGGCGGCGGGGTTTTCTGGTTTAGTCGCTGAGTGAACGTAAATGAAGCCTGTTTGGTCTCGACATAAAAATCCTAGTCTCCTCTGCGTTGTCTACTGTTTAAAGGATTATGACAAGTACTGGAGTCTAATGTGTAATTCAAATTGTTTATGGGTACGTGGACAACAGACTTAAAGCCTAGGGGTCATTGTTAAATTTATCATAGCTTACTAATTTCGTCCATCATTTATATGAATTTAGTATCCACAACTAGTTTCTTCATTTTATTTAGTGAAAATCGTCCAAAACGTCCCTTACATTTTGTAAAATAACTTTTTTCGTCCCTCACTTTTAATAGTGTAATTTTATATCCCTTACATATTCACATCGGACAAATTTAGTCCCTAACTAGGTTTTCGATCATTTTTTGGCCGGAATCCATCATGTGCAAGGCACATGATCATTTTTTAAGGGTAAATTTGTCAAATTATGTTTTACATAATCTCATCTATAGTCCTCCACATTTTATAAAATAAATTTTTTTGTCCCTCATATTTTATAAAATGATTTTTTTCATCCCTCACATTACACAAAATGAATTTCTCCATCCCTCACATTTCAAAAAATGAATTTTTCATTTCTCACTAATTATGTGTGTGAATACATTTTTTTAAAAACACACACACACATATATATATATATCTATTTGATTTTGCTTAATAATAATAGTATAAACACATGTATGTAATTGGGCCCAACTTGTGGGCTATCTTCTCTTTTTGTATGATTATAACTAATATTTACCAATAGAATTTTAATTTGCATATTCTTATTGTATTTTGATCGAAAATAGCTTTATTTGTATACAGGGTACAGCAGCAGTGCAAAATGATGAATTAATCAGCACACCTCTGCTTCCAAAGATGTCCTAGAATCTCCCTTAATGGAACACAAGTCTTGAAACAAAGTAGCCCATTTGACTGCTTTTCGCAGCCTACAAATCAGATAGCCACGCTGACGTGCATTTGGTCCATCTGGCAGCATTTTCTTTTCCATAGCATGGCTCCAAGCTCTTTCTGCTGTATAAAGAACCACATGAAGATTCCTACAGTGTCCCCAACCACCATGCAGAATCAGGATAGATTAACGACCATTAAGAAATTATTAATGAGAGACAAAACAGCATATTTGTTCTTCAAATAGCAAAAGCGAAATAAAAACATTTACCAACTGTAATGTCAATCAAATTCAACCATTGGTCTTGGCAATCTATTACCTCACTTCAGTGACCATAGAAGCTGTAATCGCCCTTTTACTATATTTACCACGGCCATGCGTGAATTTCAACGACTTGTACAATCTCCTGAGCCGAGCAGTACAGTACCTCCTAAAAAATTTGCAAAAACTGGTCAATTTCACATTCCCTCAAAAGTACAACTCTATCACACCACATTTTTCATAAATTTAACCCTGCCACCTCCAATGATCAATGTCATAAATTCCCTCATAAACCTATATAGAGCACACTTACGCTTATATACTGGTAAAAACAATATCAAACGGCATTTCTTACAAAAATTAAGCCTACTTCCCGGAACTTCATCGTACCAAATTACTCATAAACATATACCATAAGTGTACAAGCCTAGGTTATACCGGTAACGAGCGTAATCGCCAAACAGCAATCCATGCTGCATCTGAGCGGATTTCAAGAGCTGCAAAACTGTAAATTCACCAAAAAAAAAACTAAATTATCACCTCAAAATTAGCTGTCTAGAGCTTTATGGGAGAGTAAATTACCATTGATAGAGAACCTTGGGCTATTAATCTGATCAACGGATTCCGAATTTTGGTTGTCCACATCCATAGCGGAGGAGTTGTTCTCTTTGGCCATATCGTTAATGTGAAATCTCCGTCAGATCTTAAATTTGGCGTCGTCTTTATCGGAATTAGCCCGACAGCTTGAATGTAGGTGGCTTGAAAGATTCTGAAGATGTCCAAAATGCCCCTGGCTTGTGGCACACTGCCGGCGGCGGGGTTTTCTGGTTTAGTCGCTGAGTGAACGTAAATGAAGCCTGTTTGGTCTCGACATAAAAATCCTACTCTCCTCTGCGTTGTCTACTGTTTAATGGATTATGGCAAGTACTGGAGTCTAATGTGTAATTCAAATTGTTTATGGGTACGTGGACAACAGACTTAAAGCCTAGGGGTCATTGTTAAATTTACCATAGCTTACTAATTTCGTCCATCATTTCTATGAATTTAGCATCCACAACTAGTTTCTTCATTTTATTTAGGGAAAATCGTCCAAAACGTCCCTTACATTTTATAAAATAACTTTATTCGTCCCTCACTTTTAAAAGTGTAATTTTATATCCCTTACATATTCATATCGGACAAATTTAGTCCCTAACTAGGTTTCGATCATTTTTTGGCCGGAATCCATCATGTGCAAGGCACATGATCATTTTTTAAGGGTAAATTTGTCAAATTATATTTTACATAATCTCATCTATAGTCCTCCACATTTTATAAAATAAATTTTTTCGTCCCTCATATTTTATAAAATGATTTTTTTCATCCTTCACATTACACAAAATGAATTTCTCCATCACTCACATTTCAAAAAATGAATTTTTCATTTCTCACTAATTATGTGTGTGAATACATTTTTTTAAACACACACACACACACATATATATATATCTATTTCATTTTGCTTAATAATAATAGTATAAACACATGTATGTAATTGGGCCCAACTTGTGGGTTATCTTCTTTTTTTGTATGAATATAACTAATATTTACCAATAGAACCTTAATTTGCATATTCTTATTATATTTTGACCGAAAATAGCTTTATTTGTATACAGGGCACAGCAGCAGTGCAAAATGATGAATTAATCAGCACACCTCTGCTTCCAAAGATGTCCTAGAATCTCCCTTAATGGAACACAAGTCTTGAAACAAAGTAGCCCATTTGACTGCTTTTCGCAGCCTACCAATCAGATAGCCACGCTAACGTGCATTTGGACCATCTGGCAGCGTTTTCTTTTCCATAGCATGGCTCCAAGCTCTTTCTGCTGTATAAAGAACCACATGAAGATACCTACAGTGTCCCCAACCACCACGCAGAATCAGGATAGATTAACGACCATTAAGAAATTAATAATGAGAGACAAAACAGCATATTTGTTCTTCAAATAGCAAAAGCGAAATTAAAACATTTACCAACTGTAATGTCAATCAAATTCAACCATTGGTCTTGGCAATCTATTACCTCACTTCAGTGACCATAGAAGCAGTAATCGCCCTTTTACTATATTTACCACGGTCATGCGTGAATTTCAACGACTTGTACAATCTCCTGAGCCGAGCAGTACAGTACCTCCTAAAAAATTTGCAAAAACTGGTCAATTTCACATTCCCTCAATAGTACAACTCTATCACACCACATTTTTCACAAATTTAACCCTGCCACCTCTAATGATCAATGTCATAAATTCCCTCATAAACCTATATAGAGCACACTTACGCTTATATACTGGTAAAAACAATATGAAACGGCATTTCTTACAAAAATTAAACCTACTTCCCGGAAGTTCATCGTACCAAATTACTCATAAACATATACCATAAGTGTACAAGCGTAGGTTATACCGGTAACGAGCGTAATCGCCAAACAGCAATCCATGCTGCATCTGAGCCGATTTCAAGAGCTGCAAAACTGTAAATTCACCAAAAAAAAAAACTAAATTATCACCTCAAAATTAGCTGTCTAGAGCTTTATGGGAGAGTAAATTACCATTGATAGAGAACCTAGGGCTATTAATCTGATCAACGGATTCCGAATTCTGGTTGTCCACATCCATAGCGGAGGAGTTGTTCTCTTTGGCCATATCGTTAATGTGAAATTTCCGTCAGATCTTAAATTTGGCATCGTCTTTATCGGAATTAGCCCGACAGCTTGAATGTAGGTTGCTTGAAAGATTCTGAAGATGTCCAAAATGCCCCTGGCTTGTGGCACACTGCCGGCGGCGGGGTTTTCTGGTTTAGTCGCTGAGTGAACGTAAATGAAGCCTGTTTGGTCTCGACATAAAAATCCTAGTCTCCTCTGCGTTGTCTACTGTTTAATGGATTATGACAAGTACTGGAGTCTAATGTGTAATTCAAATTGTTTATGGGTACGTGGACAACAGACTTAAAGCCTAGGGGTCGTTGTTAAATTTATCGTAGCTTACTAATTTCGTCCATCATTTATATGAATTTAGTATCCACAACAAGTTTCTTCATTTTATTTAGGGAAAATCGTCCAAAACGTCCCTTATATTTTGTAAAATAACTTTTTTCGTCCCTCACTTTTAAAAGTGTAATTTTATATCTCTTACATATTCACATCGGACAAATTTAGTCCCTAACTAGGTTTTCGATCATTTTTTGACCGGAATCCATCATGTGCAAGACACATGATCATTTTTTAAGGGTAAATTTGTCAAATTATATTTTACATAATCTCATCTATAGTCCTCCACATTTTATAAAATAAATTTTTTCGTCGCTCATATTTTAAAAAATGATTTTTTTCATCCCTCACATTACACAAAATGAATTTCTCCATCCCTCACATTTCAAAAAATGATTTTTTCATTTCTCACTAATTATGTGTGTGAATACATTTTTTTTAAACACACACACACACACACATATATATATATATCTATTTGATTTTGCTTAATAATAGTAGTATAAACACATGTATGTAATTGGGCCCAACTTGTGGGCTATCTTCTCTTTTTGTATGATTATAACTAATATTTATCAATAGAATCTTAATTTGCATATTCTTTTTGTATTTTGACCGAAAATAGCTTTATTTGTATACAGGGCACAGCACCAGTGCAAAATGATGAATTAATCAGCATACCTCTGCTTCCAAAGATGTCCTAGAATCTCCCTTAATGGAACACAAGTCTTGAAACAAAGTAGCCCATTTTACTGCTTTTCGCAGCCTACCAATCAGATTGCCACGCTGACGTGCATTTGGACCATCTGGCAGCGTTTTCTTTTCCATAGCATGGCTCCAAGCTCTTTCTGCTGTATAAAAAACCACATGAAGATACCTACAGTGTCCCCAACCACCACGCAGAATCAGGATAGATTAACGACCATTAAGAAATAAATAATGAGAGACAAAACAGCATATTTGTTCGTCAAATAGCAAAAGCGAAATTAAAACATTTACCAACTGTAATGTCAATCAAATTCAACCATTGGTCTTGGCAATCTATTACCTCACTTCAGTGACCATAGAAGCTGTAATCGCCCTTTTACTATATTTACCACGGCCATGCGTGAATTTCAACGACTTGTACAATCTCCTGAGCCGAGCTGTACAGTACCTCCTAAAAAATTTGCAAAAACTGGTCAATTTCACATTCCCTCAAAAGTACACCTCTATCACACCACATTTTTCACAAATTTAACCCTGCCACCTCCAATGATCAATGTCATAAATTCCCTCATAAACCTATATAGAGCACACTTACGCTTATATACTGGTAAAAACAATATCAAACGGCATTTCTTACAAAAATTAAGCCTACTTCCCGGAACTTCATCGTACCAAATTACTCATAAACATATACCATATGTGTACAAGCGTAGGTTATACCGGTAACGAGCGTAATCGCCAAACCGCAATCCAGGCTGCATCTGAGCGGATTTCAAGAGCTGCAAAACTGTAAATTCACCAAAAAAAAAAACTAAATTATCACTTTAAAATTAGCTGTCTAGAGCTTTATGGGAAAGTAAATTACCATTGATAGAGAACCTAGGGCTATTAATCTGATCAACGGATTCCGAATTCTGGTTGTCCACATCCATAGCGGAGGAGTTGTTCTCTTTGGCCATATCGTTAATGTGAAATCTCCGTCAGATCTTAAATTTGGCGTCGTCTTTATCGGAATTAGCCCGACAGCTTGAATGTAGGTGGCTTGAAAGATTCTGAAGATGTCCAAAATGCCCCTGGCTTGTGGCACACTGCCGGCGGCGGGGTTTTCTGGTTTAGTCGCTGAGTGAACGTAAATGAAGCCTGTTTGGTCTCGACATAAAAATCCTAGTCTCCTCTGCGTTGTCTACTGTTTAATGGATTATGACAAGTACTGGAGTCTAATGTGTAATTCAAATTGTTTATGGGTACGTGGACAACAGACTTAAAGCCTAGGGGTCATTGTTAAATTTATCATAGCTTACTAATTTCGTCCATCATTTATATGAATTTAGTATCCACAACTAGTTTCTTCATTTTATTTAGGGAAAATCGTCCAAAACGTCCCTTACATTTCGTAAAATAACTTTTTTCGTCCCTCACTTTTAAAAGTGTAATTTTATATCCCTTACATTTTCACATCGGACAAATTTAGTCCCTAACTAGGTTTCGATCATTTTTTGGCCGGAATCCATCATGTGCAAGGCACATGATCATTTTTTAAGGGTAAATTTGTCAAATTATATTTTACATAATCTCATCTATAGTCCTCCACATTTTATAAAATAAATTTTTTCGTCCCTCATATTTTATAAAATGATTTTTTTCATCCCTCACATTACACAAAATGAATTTCTCCATCCCTCACATTTTAAAAAATGAATTTTTCATTTCTCACTAATTATGTGTGTGAATACATTTTTTTAAACACACACACACACACACATATATATATATATATCTATTTGATTTTGCTTA